TATAAATTTGAAGATATCATTAAAATTTGAAAAAAATATATCAATGTTAATATCAAATCAACTATTTAAAATTTCTTATTTTTATGTAATTTATTTATTTTATTACAATTTAATTTAAGTTTAATAACAAAATACTTTATTTTTTGTTTAATAATATAACATTTTATAAATATAATAATTAAGTATTATGTTAGAACTCAATGATTATCCTAATTATATTTTAGATTTTTTATATTTAAAATGAGATATTTATCTTGTATTTGATTATGTTTATCTGTAGATAGTTACACGAATTCTGATATGGAGTTTTAATAAGTTGTTTACGCACAATCTACTTGCAATATTGAGTTTTAAGTAATATGCATTAATAAACATTACTTTACGCATAAAAAGTGGTTTTTAAKAGTYTTTGTCAAATACTTTATAATATAGTATAGATATTGTTGCTTTTAAAAAAGAGTCAGATGAACGAAATAGTAATTTACTTTCACAAATTTCCTTATTATAAGATTGTACTTTCACTTTTTTCTTATTTTAGATTTTGTAATATTGTTAAATTATTAAATAACTTAGAAAATTTATAATTATATTAATGTATTATTTAAATAATATCTTAAACAAAAATTTAAATACAAATACGATATATATTTTTTCCAAAATAAATATTTTGTTTGTAAAAACACATAACACTTCTTATTTTTCTTGTTTATAAAATACATTTTTAATTTTTTTTTCTAAAATATAAGCGATATAGATTGTGATTTACAAGTCTTCTTAATATTGTTATATGAATGAATAATTTATATTTTTACGATTAATTTTATTTATTTATTAAATAATATGTAATGTTAATTTTTATAAAAATATATTACTGTAATAAGAAACGTCACATCAATAATATGTTATACGTGGATGTTCCATGTGGACAATAACATGACATGACTACCTGATAACATGTGACATACCATCTTAATTCAAATAAAAAATTACTCATTGTTATAATGAGTAAATTTCAAAATACAATATTTTATTAAATACCAGTTTAAAAGTATACTGATATAAAAAAATATAATACTATAATAAAAAAATTCATGTTTCATGCAATTTAATGTTACATTTTAGGAAAAAATATGTTCAAAGATTGACCATAAAATGAGTCCATGTTCTAGATATCAGGAGCAACTTGTATCATTTAATTATTGGTTTTTTGTTTCCTTTGATTATAATTTTTTTAAGTTAATTATAAAACCAGTCCCTCAATTTATAGTCGATATACAGTTATAGTCCATTTTTTTTTCTCATTTATGCTTCTTATACTTAGCTGCATTTCACTAACTAGCTGATAAATTAGTTATTTTTAGGTGTCGTTTGTTTTTTAAGAGGTGTTGAAGTCTGAATTTACTTATGATTTTTAAGAGGTGGTGCTGAAGTCTGAAATCTGAATCAGCCAGACTGTTTGTTTTTACGTCTGAAATCTAAAATTTGAATAAGTCAATAGATTTAAAATTAGTTGGTAAGGTAAATGATAATGTAAATATGACATAAAATAATACGGTGAAAAATTAACTAAAAAATATATGGGACATGAAGAAAGGTTGGAGCTCATTAAAACCATTCAAATTTCTTTGTAAACCAAACAAATAGATTCAAATTCCTTAACAAATTCCATTTCAGTGTCTGCCAACTAAACAAGTGGTTAAACCTAACAACATTTCATTTCAATTCATTCAAAGTCAAATTCTTTTGACAGATTCCATTTCATCCAAAAACATTATGCGAACCAAACGCCTCCTTAGCTTATGACAAACCAAAGGGAACTTTTTTAATAAGTTCAAAAAATAAGTTGGTTTATAATTGTCAAACATGGCCTTATATCTCGTCTTAATGAGCCAACCAAGTACGGCTAATACCTCTGGTAATCGTGGTTAAAAACGACATATGATTTTTTTTTATTAACCTGGATATCCAACCCACTATGCGAGACGACTAATCCTTGGGCAACCACTTGCTTTGCAGATAGCCCGGAGTCACCGCATTTGAACATCCGTGGCCACAAGAGGATTTTTATTCCTCATTGGATTTGAACCTGAGACCTCCTGATACTTTTGACATTTTGAACCAAGCTCAAACCAATCAGGCACCACCCTTATAGTTGACATATTAATTTTTAATCAACAAAAAAATAAAAAGATAATGAATATCTATTGAAGATATGAAGATTTTGTGAAAATAAAAATGAATTATGATTTATGTTTTTATCTGTGTTTCAAACTCTGATTTATAAAGAATTAAGGTTGTTTAAAATCCTGCACAAACTGTACAACCTGCTTACACCGCATTAAACTGTACAATTTAGAAGTTAGAACTTGTGTTACTGCTTCCAGTTTATATTTTGTTTATACCGTACTATGCGACTTGGTTTGTGGTTTTAAACAACCAAACCACGATTGTAACACCACGAGTTGTCATTGTTGTGTATTGCCACTTTCCATCTTGTATGTGGAATATGAAACATGAAAACTACGAAACTTCACAACACCAATTTAATTATACGGGATACGCCGATGATATTTAGGTATAAGCTGCCACCGCATCGTATTTTGCTGTCTTTATTTTACGATACAAGGCATCCACAGTTTGGTTTGTGGTTGCGAAAATGTACCCTGAACATGTGATTTGGTTGACTGTTTCACCTCTAAACTGCACTGCACGATGAACACCCCCAAAAAGTATAAGAAAAAACTTGATATATATGAAATGCAAAAAATAAAAAATCAATAGACTAATGGGCATAAGACTATAAATCCAAGGGTATATTTGTAATTTACTCTAAATAGTGTTGGTGGCTTCTTTCCAAGTTGCAATATAATTATACTAAATTCTAATTTAATAATCCAAATAATATATGTTTCTCTAATTCACATACATTTTCATATAATTAAAATAGAAAAACTAATTTAATATTGTTAATAAAATTGGTTT